CTTTTTTCCTTCCCTTGCCTTCACTTTTGTAATTTTTTTTTCCCTTTTAAATGTCCCGTGGCAAATAAATACAACCCGTCGCGTTTTACTAGCACCTCAGATTATATATGTATTTATAGGTAGATATAGAATCAGATAAAATTTTACTGACAATTATGGTAGAATTTATGGTGTCAATTTTAGTCGCTGATTTAGCCGAAGGAAAGCGGCGCGCCGGCAGCAGTCTACAGCAGAGAACACGAAATTGTATTCATTTTTAAAAAGAGAAGGATGGTTTCTTTGGAGTGGAATATTTCCATACATCCCCTCCCCGTTGCACCTACCCCTCCCCCGCCGCCCCAAGCCAAACCAAGCTCAGCAACAAAAGAAAATAGCAAAGTCTATGAGCTTGCTGAAATTTACCCTTGTTTTGGGCGGACATCTTACAGCTCACAGTGGATATCCTCCATAACATGAATCGCAGCACAGCTCTACACCACACCGACCCTTGTTTGCAAATATGGCGAATAACAATAAAATCCTTCTTGTTTTATGAAGGTACCATTACGCATATATACATATATATATGTATATGTATTGAAAGCAAAATAGGACGGAACACGCTTATGGTCTTGGCAGAAGTTGTTGTTAGGAAAATTCAGAGCCATACTACAGTGCAATAAAAGAAAATGACTGCTGTAACCATTTATGGGGTGTAAAACGCTGCAGGGCTGAAGACAAAACTTAGGGAGCCGGCAAGAAGTTTACAGATGTGCAGAACTGCGGGAGGGAAAAAAAAAGCTTTCGACTTCATCTTAAAAAAAAAAAAAAGGAAATAAATCGGAGGTAAGATTTGATGAGTTCTAATTAGCAAAAGGGAGCTCGTTCTGGCGTGCACACACACAAAAAAACCCCTAATTGATCCCCGAGCCAGTATTTGGGGATGCTGGGACGCCCTCTGTTGTTGCAGACAGAGGCAACTTCAAAGAATCAGCATTAAGAGTGTGTAATAAATGACGGGTCTGCAAACTGTCTGGAATTCGGCCCTTAATGAGTTTACAACTGTCCAGCCACAATTAAGATTTTCTACAAAAGCCTTTTCATTTGTTTTGTCTGGCTGTTTTAGATAAAGCGGGAGAGCGGAAATAACAACCTTTTATTGGCCTTCCCGTGCTCCATCCCGGGCTGGGAGGCGCACATTTATCTTGCCGCGGGCCGGGGCGCGGGCCGGCCGGGCGCGGCAGTGGCGGCCGGCGGGCGGCAGGTGGCGCTGTGAGCCCGCGGAACGGCGCCCCGCCGCCCTCCGCCATCAAGCGCTCGGCCGCCTCCCCGACAGCTCCTAAAATGTCGACTTTATGGGAGCATAACTGCGCTTGGAAGCGCTGAGGTGGTTTTAACAAAGGCCCATAGGTCTCAGGGTGCTTTTTGCCCCCCCCGCCTTATCCCCGATTTTTTTCCCGCCTTATCCCGCCGACCGAGCGCCGTCAGGGCGGCGTTTGCCGCCTGGCCACGCTCAGGGCGCTCGTGGAGAAAGTAAAGCTTGATCTGCACCAAGGACACACCGTGCATTTATTATTCTCAAAATGCAGAGACATTTCCTATTATGTGATAGAGACGGATTGAGCCCTGGCACCCAACTGCCAGCTCCTCTTTTTCTCCTTTGCCCCAAACCTTTGCTCTTTGCTTAAGCTCTGAGCCTGCAAACAGGGTATCCTGATTTCCCGAAGGGCTGGTGTGAAATGAAATATTGGGAGAAAGGGGGAATTGAAGGGTCCGGGCAGGATGGAAGAGGGTGTCCCCGGCTCAGCCTGGGAGGAGGGCGCCCGAAGAGCTTCACCCTTGGAGCTCTGGGGCCAACCGATGAATTTTTCCAATGCCCTTGTCCGCTCGGCGTGGCTGAGACAGCCGTGCGGGGAACCGGCAGTGCTGCAAAAATCTAGTTTGAAAATTATTTACCGGCGGGTGAAATTCTTCAACAGCTGTCTTTGATACAAATAAAAAGCCCTGCTTGTGTCCGAAGCAATTTCAGCTCTGTGGGACCCGTTGTGGTTATATTACACAGATGTGAGAAGGCTGATGCTCTGCAAACTTGACGTGTCTCTCAAAGTCATTCCTAACTTGTTCTTGCCGTCTATTTTGTTTCCTCGAATCGTTTTCCTTTTTTTTTCTTCTTCCCTTTTTTTCTTTTTTTAATTTTTTTTCATTTTTTCTTTTTTTTTCTTTTTGCCGCTTTGCTTTTGTTGGCTGCCGCGTCTTAAGAATGAGGCTTAGTGTGGAGTTGTGGAATATTTTCAGACGGCAATTGCCAAAAGAGACGGGGGAAAAAGTAATTGGAAGGAAAACAAATGCAGGAGGGAAGGAAGCATAAAATATGGGCTGAAGGATAAACGTTGTATTTCGTAAGTTTAAGCCAGACAACTAAACAAATCCCTGCATAGTACTCTGTAACAGAACTACTTTCTCTGCATCTTACTTACATTTCCTTAAATCAAAGCCATTCTTTTTATATCGAAATTCAGCAACGGGAATGTACTGAGCTAGTTTTTTCCCGCACTGATTCAAAGATTTAATACTTTCTAGGGATAAGGATCAACAGCCACTCCCTGCTTTCTAACAAGAGCCTTCCTATCAAACGTTAGTCTACAATGGCATTGCTAAACTTATTATGAGTAATTATTTTTTTCCTTGGGCAGTAAAATTATATTGAAATTAAAAAGTGTTTATGCATCGTCATACTAAGTAATAACTTGGCACAGCATGTTCCATTATAATCGTGGATAAATTATGGCGAGAACAGATTCCAAACCAACAAAATCTTCTCTACTATGAACCACATCAAGATACTGCTTAGTACACAAGCCATAATCATGTAGTGCTCCCAGGTCGCTTATAACTTACAAGCACCGTTTTATCACTACATTTTACTTCCCGGAAAAGCTCAGTGCCAAAGAGGGGTAGTCCAGAACTTACAAGGAAAAAAAAAATACAATTAATCCGTCCTAGAGGATTATTTTTTAAAGCGTGTGAGAATGTTACCATGACCAAAACCTTGAAATCTGCGCCTGTTCACCCTGTCTCAATGGGAAAAAAAAAAATTTAAATGAAAAGCGCATTTACAGGCGCGGTAATCTAGCCTGATCCTGTAAGCGACAAAACGAGAAATTTCAGAAGGTGTTTCAGAACCAGCATTATGCCTAACTCGCAGAGGGTGGGGGGAGTCAACAAGGTGGCGGGGACCCTTGTCTAGGGGTCCTTCTAGCATTTATTCAGTGAAGGCTTTTTGATAAATCTAAACGGCTGGCAAGGAAAAATAAGCTGAAAGCAAAATACATTTTAGAAAAACGTGGCAGCGATAAACAAACATAAGCAAAGAAAAACACATAAATGTGCAAATTGTAGAGAATCGGAGAGGATGAAATGCAACCACCCAGACAAACTATTTGGTCCTACGCTATCCATATTTAAGTCTAGACATTGGTTATATTTGCTGTTTCTTTTTTCTTGCATCTTGGTATGTTGTCACCAGAGGAGCAATTTATTGGTCTAATGCCATCTACTTCAGCCTCTTTGATCTTCTTGGTCGTCGTTTTGTTTGCATCGCTTTCGTTTAAGTTCTTGGGCCTCTATTCCCTTCCAGCAGCCTCTTCTGCCGGCAAGTTCCCGCACCGCGATTGCGACCGCAGGGATATTGTCTAATATTGGTGAATTGGAAGAAATAACCGAAGGGGCTCTCTCGGCGGCTTCTCCCTTATGCCTGCGAATAATAACCGCGTTTTCACACACTTAACACTTGGCAAACATTTACACACATCCACCACATCTGCACGCTCTGAAGCACCAGTATCTCAGGGATCTGGCTTTCAAGAACTGACTTGCTTCTGTCAGTAACCTGTGCTCAGGGGGCCGCAATGACCGCGCATAAAGGGTGCCAAAGGGTGCGCGGGTGCGTGCTGGAGGTGTGCAGGGGGGGAGAGGGTGCTCCACGTTTACAAAACACAAAGTTTAGGGTCCGTGCGAAATATCGGCAAGAACAATTTTAACTGGTGAGAAAGTCTTTGTACACGGGGCACCAAACTATAATTGAAAGGAGAATTTCCGGGGCAATTCCATTGTGCTTCTTCCAGTTTATGATGTGCAATACAGGCAGGCAGTAAAAGCTGTCTTTACCAGGACTCCCTGTCTGAGGGAAGGAAACTCATTTTACGATCCGTTTAAAGGAAGGGCACGGAGCAGCATCCTCAATGGAGAGCCATTCGCATTGTTGGGGAGCCCAGTGTTTAGAAAAGCAGCAGCAGCTCTGCCCGTCATGCGAGCGCTCCGCAGCCGCCTGACGCTCCGGACCGCAAGGTATGCGGGCAGAAAGGTAACTCGGGCACTAAACAGGGGCGGCGAGTTGGAGCCATTCGCAGGCGATTTCTTCAGCTATGGAGTTTCGATTTATTCCCTTTTTATTTTTTGAGACATTCAGAAAGTTGAGTCTTTTTTTTTTTTTTTGGGCCATTATTTGCGGTGGGTGGTAGGGGTTTTTTGTGCGTTCTGCTGTTGGGTGGGAGTTTTTTGTTTAGCTGGATGTCGTTGTTTGTTTGGGGGTTTGGTGGTTTTTGGGGTGTTTTTTTTGGGTTTTTTCCTCCTTTTCTTTCCCGGGGAGGGCGACTGTGATTTTTGCCCCCCCTCGGGGGCTGGCTGCTGGGAAGCGCCTTGCTTCCCAAGGCTCGGCAGCGGAGCGGGGTGCCCGGCAAGCCCTGTGGCAGGGTTACCTCCTGCTTCTTGCCACTACGCGGAAACAACGCGGGGCGGGGGGGGCGAGGAGCCGCCTCCCTCAGACCTGACGCGCATGGACAGCCACACACGTACGCATTCAGAGCGTTCGCATTTGATTTCTCCCGGCGCCCCCCGGTCCGGCGGCGAGCAGGCGGGGTGCGGTGTGCCCGGGGGCCGGGCGGGCGGCGGCGGCGGTGCCTGGGGGGCGGCTGGAGGGCGCTGCCGGGCGCGGCGGCGGCCGCGGGCCCAGCCCGTCCATGGCCGGGCACCGTCGGGCCCCGGCCGGCACCACCTGTGAGGCGGGCGGGGATTGGCGGGCGGCGTCACATGACCGGTCACGTGCTGCGGGCAGCTCGGTCCAAAAGAAAATGGGGTTTGGTGTAAATCTGGGGGTGTAATGTTATCATATATCACGCTACCTCGTAAAACCGACACTGAAGCCTGCCGGACAACAAATCACAGGTCAAAATTATGAGCTCTTCGTATTATGTGAATGCGCTTTTTAGCAAATATACGGCGGGGGCTTCTCTTTTCCAAAATGCGGAGCCTACTTCTTGCTCCTTTGCAAGCAACTCCCAGAGAAGCGGCTATGGACCAGGCGCGGGTGCCTTCGCCTCCTCCATGCCCGGCTTGTACAATGTGAACAGTACCATATATCAAAGCCCGTTCTCTTCCGGATACAGCCTGGGCTCTGATGCCTACAACCTGCATTGTTCCTCTTTTGATCAGAACATTCCCGTCCTCTGCAATGAGCTAACCAAACCCAGCTGTGAGAAAGCGGAGGAAAGCAACCTGCACAACCAGGCTGAGCCTAATTTCCGGATATACCCCTGGATGAGGTCTTCAGGTAGGGGCGAGCGGAGAGGGCTCGGAGCCGTGGCAGCCAGGCAAAGCGTGTCGCCAGGATTACTGTCAGCACAGCCTTTATGGTTTTAATTATAGCCGAGGCGCCATTGCGTAGAAAGCCCGTGGCATTGTATGTAAATGAGTATCATAAAACTTTTTATTGCCCAATTAATGGGTTCTAGCCTCGTAAATTTATTTAACTCCATTTGCTATGGAATTTTAGCATTGAGTTGATTTGCGCTGTTTGCTGTGAAAAAGCGGAGAGTTGGCTGCGGGCTCCCCACGGATAAAGCGTCTCCCCTGCCCTCTTGTCGAAGTTGGGGGGGAAAAAAACCCCCAACAAAATCCCGCTCGCCGGGCGAGGCGGAGGGGACAGAGGCGCTTGGGAGCGAGGGACGGCGTGTCGAGGACTTTGCCAGCTCGCGTTGCCACTCTGGTCCCCCCTGCCCTTTCCACGGAGATAAGAATCTATAGAAATGTACTAAACAGGAAAACGGAGGGGGGGAGGGGGGCACTGGGGCACGAGAGCCTGTGTGAAAAAGGAGAGCTCTCTTCTGGAGCTAAATGCTATGTATTGTTTACGATCCAGGCGGGATGGGTGGGGGGAGCCCACGACATTAAAATAAAATAAATACAGCCCGGCCTTCCAGCTTTTTATTTCCCCTTGCGAAACGTGAAAGTCTGGAAGGTTTTAGGGAAATACATCGCCTGGGGGAAAAGTTCCTCCTCCCAAAAGCAATTTCCTCCCCCACCTCCTCTCCTGAACGCTTTCTCTTCACTTTTTCTAGGTCTCGAGCAACTTAATTTTTGCCCTGCCTGAGCAGGGCAGGTCGTGTGGCTGAAATGTCTTTGTTAGGGCAAAGTGGGGGGGCGGGTGGAAGTCGAAGAAGGGGATCGTTCACTCTGGCTCGGCCAATTTTTTGTTTGTGTGTTTGTTTGTTTGTTTAAATTTAAATATCAATAAGAAAAATAAAAATAGAAAACTTTCCACTTCTCTTCTTGTCTAACTCCTGGCCGTGTATGTGTGTGTGTGTGCCTGTTTTCAGGTCCAGATAGGAAGCGAGGGCGCCAGACCTACACCCGCTACCAGACTCTGGAGCTGGAGAAGGAATTCCACTTCAATCGTTATCTGACTCGGCGGCGAAGGATAGAGATCGCCCATGCCCTCTGCCTGACGGAGAGGCAGATCAAAATCTGGTTCCAAAACCGGAGGATGAAGTGGAAGAAGGAGCACAAGGAGGAGAGCTCCAGCACCCCGGCTCCCAACGAGCCCACGTCAGCAGCAGCCTCTGTCGAGAAAGTGGAGGAAGACGAAGAGGAGGAGGACTAAGGAGTCCCACTCGAGGAAGTGATCTCTTAGAATAGTGTGTGCACATGACAGTTGGAAAAGCTCCCTTTAAAGGAGAAAGGAAAAAAAAAAGAGAGACTTTTTATTAAAAATTAAATCAGTTCCCTTTAATGATCATCTTGAAAGCAAGCGTTTGCAAACATGAAAACATTTCTTGGGTTGGTTTTCCAGCCTTCTCTCCACTCTCCCATACTCCCCAGACCTGCCCTGTGCCGAACCTTTCGGTAATATCTCCTAAGAGCATCTTGCAATCAGCTTGGTTTTTTTTTTTAATCTTCATTAACCCAAACCTGGGTGGGTTCTTCAGGGGACATTTCAGTGGGAGAACTGCTGCTTGCACAGATAGTAAACCGTGACCTTCCGAAGTAACTACCTGACTCCATAGTCCCAATCATGCGTAAGGGGAAAAGTGCATTAGGCTCACATTAAGAAAAACTACCTAATTTTGAATAAGTAGCTCTGCACTTCTCTTTTTGTTTTCTTTTTTTTTTTTTTTAATTGTTGTTAGAAAAGTATCTTAAGTAACAGCTACACTAACAAAAGGTTAAACAGCAAATAAGGGGGGGAAAATGTTCCACAAACCACTACAATCTACAGCAATTATTTGTACTACCTATTTTCCAGACTACCTACCTATATATCTTGCTCTGCCTACCTATCTTCGAAAGTATACTGTATTTTAGTAGTCAAAAGGATGTTACAAGGTTACTAATGTGAATCGCAAAATGCTTTTAGACATGTAAGTGTAGTCGTTCGAAAAGCACGCATCAATAGCTTTGGTATAGAATTTGGTACCGAAAAGTCTGAATATATTTAAATTTAAAATAATATATTTATTCCAAAGCAATTATAAATGAAAACCATATGCTGCAATATATCTTTGTTCTCGATTCTTTGCTATTTCGAGAGAGGAAGCAAACACACGCCAATATTGTACAAAGCGGTTTAATATCTCCCGTTGGCTTCTACCTTCAGCTGCTTCTGCTAAAGGCCGTTTTCTTATTCTACGTTGATCTTACTTAATATAGCGGAAAGTGTTCTTTGAAAAGTGAATTTAAATGATCATGTAACCACCTTAAAAAAAAAAAAAAATCCACAAACTGTTTGTCCTGATTATCTGAACGTGTTAATATGTAATACCATGAATTTTCCTACAATAGCAGATATTGTAATTTTTTTGTCATTTATATTCGTCTTGAACCTCATTTGTAAGATCATGTCATAAATTGGGAAGTATGTAATTAATTTGGAAACTTTGTAGCATGATGTATTGTTAAGAACTCTGTATAAATCCGTCTTGAAGGTTTGGCTAAAGTTTATTCACAAATTGTATGTTACAATGTGTTTCGGTGTGTTCGTTGTGAACATTTGGATATGCCGTGTAAGTATTGGAAGTGGGAAAAAAAATGTCTGTGAACTCTCTTTGGAAGTGATACCGTGTTCAACTATCTCCCACGATAAATGTGTTTTATGTTACACAGAAAATAAATATGCTTGTTGACAATGAATTGCGTTTCTTTATTAAGGAACCAGTTCGAGGGAAGCAACAAAAAATATATTACATAGACTAATAAAGAAATTAGACCATCTAAACAGTTTTTCTTTCGGTAATCAGAAAGGGGGGGGCGAGAAAAAAAACCAAGGTGATGAATTGATAGGAATCAGTCAATATCTCTATCTCGACTTCATGATTTTTTCCCTAGCGTTGTTGATTAATAAAGCGGAAAGCCTCCTTTATGGGAGAGCTTCCTTCCACCGTGTTCCCGTGTCCTCTTGCAGTCATTACCCCAGTCCAGACGATCGGCGATCAAGTCGAAATCGCATGCAGAGAAAGAATATTTTGTAATGAACAGAAAGTGAAAGACGAAACTTCCAAGTGTAAATGGATCTGATCGGGTACATGTGTGGTTTGTGTGTGCGGCTTTCGGGGGCCAGGGGGCATCACGGTAGCACAAAAATGGGGGGAAACTGCCCCGCTTTAGAAAACATCTTATTTTTGCCAGGTACCACGTAATATCAGTATTCGCCCACCCTCCCCCCCCACCCTTGCATTTTTTTTTAATAATTAAAATTTTTAAAAAATCGAACCTGAAAAGTCCTTTTATTCGGCCGCATAAATACAGGTAAGACCTGGAGCGTTATTTGCGCTGAAGTTCCCTTTTTTCTACTACACTCCATTCCTGGTCAACGCACTAATTGTAATTTTAATAAAATTAGTACAAAGTCCAGGTCTTTTAAAAAACTCCAGGGCTGCCTCTGTGGTAAGATGGCGCCTCTCTAAGACCTGCCTCTTCTTAGTGATGAGGAAAAGGCCATAAATCCGTTGTTGTTTATGAAAATTTACAACTTTGCAATACAACTTTATGAGTTGTTCGGTTTTTCCATTGGTCGTTGTCGGTCATGTGGATGGTAACCGTGAACATGAACTTTTTTATAATTTCCCTTGCGAGAATAGAGCCGCATTCTTTTGCTGAGCTCTGTCCTGCTTCGGATCTCTCTGGCTTTCAATCCCCATTTCATTTGTTCTTTGTAAGGCAATAGTGAACAAAGTGTGCTGAGGTTCGGCATAAGCAGCCGCCTAGAACACAGATCCGGGATGGCAATTTCCAGTTCCCCCGCTGGAAGGTGTGGCATATTGGATTCAAAGCACTGGCGTGGCAGATTTTCAACTTGCAACCTGGCTAATTTCCTGCTTCTTCTGGCACCAAAAGGAGGGCGATTCGTCTCCTGTGCAGCCAAAGCGACAGCTGTCAAAGTCGCAGGGGCTCCTGTGAGCCAGAACCTAAAAGGTGAGAAATGTATATGACACTACTGTAAGCAGGGAAAAATGGTTTAATACGTTTAAATATTAGACATGTGCAATTAAACCAAATGGAAATGTTACCGGCCAAAAATAGAGATGGCTGCAGCTCAGTTGATTTTAACTTAGGCAGTGCATGCAAAAATATGCCTAAATAAAATGTTTATTTTCTGTGATTTAGCAAGGAAACGGTGGATTTTTTTTTTTCTCGAAGTTGATTTCTTTTTGCATTTGGCAGGGGTATGTTGTGACGTTCAGGTTATTTTCTAATAATTCAGTTTTACAGCATCAGTGGAGGGGATTTTTTTTTTTCCCCAGCACCAGGGGAAAAAAAAAGTGATATCCCCAAATATTTTTTAATACTAATTCGCAGCATTAGCTCATTAGCTTAAATTTCATTTGCGGTTGATGAAATTGAGATGTGATTTATTTTTTTATATTAAAAAAACCAAACCAAAACAAAAAAACAAACAAACAACAAAAAAAAACAACCAAACAGCACAATGTCTCCTAGCTTCTCTGCCATGTCCGGGAGGTTCTTTCTAGATGGGGGGAAACGGCGCGAGTGTGTCTCAGGTTTTCTCTATGAGATCAAGCGCTGCCTGCACAAATCCCTTGCCCCGCAGCGGGTCCGCTGCCGGCGCTTGGCGGCTGGCGCGCCTCGGCTGCGCGGAGCGGGCTTGGCGGCGGCTGAACCCGTTTCAGCGCCGGAGACGGAGCTTTCCCCCCCTTTCTCTCCTTGTTGTGACTGTTACGGTGCGGCGCTGGGGCGGGGGAGCGGCGGCCGGCGGGCCGGAGCCCCGCGGGGTGCGCCGGCGGGGGGCAGCGAGCACCCGCGCACGGCGGCCCCGGGACCCGCCGCCGCCGCCCGGCTCCGCTCCCGCCTCCTCACGGCGAAAGAGCGGCTCGGAGGGCTTTAAACGGCGGCCCCGGCTGTGCCTGTGCCGCCGGGCTGATAAAGCACTGCATTTGCATTGCATTGCGGTATCCGCCGGACTGGAGCTGCAGTGAGCGCCGATTATTTATTGCGGGTCGCGGGTGCTCAGTGCTGCCACGGCGTGGCGGGATGGCGGAGGCGGGCGCCGAGCGGAGCGGCCCCCGCAGCCCCTGGAACAGCAGCCAGCCTGCGCTGCTCGGGGGAGCCCAAATAAAAGACCAAGAGGAAAAAAAATCTATAAAAAAATTGCGGCCTATCTTTTTCTGTGGGAGTATCGGAGCTCGCCCCAGGGCAAAATATTCCGGCAGGACCGGCTCTGCCCACTCCCCTTGCCCTCCGATTCTACCTCGGTGTGTGTCAACTGCAAGTTACCACGGTGGGAGCCGGCTGGGGAGGAGCCGCCCGCGCCCCCCCGGCCAGGCTCTCTGTACCCCGCCAGTCTAAACAACGGTCCGCCTTGCCCAAACTGTTTGGATTAGGAGCTATTAGTTAAAGGTTGGTTTTGATGACGCTGGCGAGCACGAGAATGATTTGAAAGTGGTTTTATATACGAAGAGAAGGAGGCTTTTAAGCTTAAGAGGGTAACTACTCCCGCACCTGTATCCGAAAGTGGCTGGGGTCGCGGACGCGTTTGCGGCGGGAGGAGGAAGGCGAAATGTGCTGTGCAGGAGGTGCTGGGGGTGCGTGGAATTACGAAAACAAATAAACGGGCTGTGAAATACACAGGTATCGCCAAGTGTGACTTTGTTGCGGTGGCAAAACGCAGCGGCTGGCTTTCTTTCTGCTTTCCAGAGTGGGGGCGGGAATGGTGAAGGAAAACTGCTGTGAAATGTGTCCAGGCCGGACATTTCTTCGGCAGACTTGGGGGGCAGCAGATTATTGTGATTCGGGTTTTTCTGGGGTAGGGGGAGGAGCGGAAAGGACGCCTGAATGTGACTGAAGCAGAGATTGCGGTGCAGATTGCTTGGCTGTCACTGTAACTACTCGAACACGACCCAGTCAGGCAAATGTGCAGATTTCATCCCTTTTCGTGTTACGGGATCGGCGAATAAATATTTTCGCTGCCTGCCGTCGGGCTTTCACAACTTGGTTTGGACGCAAACAGTAACTTGAAAAACGAGAAAGAAACAAAAAGAAATGGAGGGGGAAAAAAAAATCAGACTCTAACCCATGCTAGAAAATGTAAATATAACTAAGCCTGGAGAGATTTTTATTTTAAATTTTGTTTTGGTCTTTGTGTGATGGATTCAAACAAAAGATCGTCTGCCCACAACTTTTTGGAAGTAAGGCCGGTGCGGTTTGTTTGTCCCGAGTATTCTTTTTTTCATGGTGTGTTTTCGTTCTGACTTAAACTGGCGAAAAAATATGTTCTTTTAAAAGACTTTTCGCGTTTAGCATGCTGTGTATGAGTGCTTGCTTGCTGGTGTTTCCTCCTTTTTAAACTCTATTCTCACAGAGTAAAAAACCCCTTATTTTTCCGGAGAAATCTGCTTTTCAGGAAATACATGTTTCTGAAATGACCTCTCAAAGCATGCAGCTAGTGGGTTGTAATTCTGCCAGGTGTGTTTGTTGATTAGCTGGGCTGAAGAGGTTAAGGAAGTTGAAAAAAAACCCGAAGGCAATCAACATCTGAATGTGAAAGTCCAGCTGAGACTGCAAACAATACAAACTATTGTGGAGCGATGTTTTAACTCACTACTGTTTTATAGGTATCGTAATCTGCCCCCGGAAATGAGACAAATAGTCTCCCAACAACAACAAAACTCTCCTTTGAAAGCTGCTTTAGGAAGCGCTGCTCGTACGAATGTCACTTTACGTGACAGAGCGCGTTTAAAATTAGTCCATTCAATCTGTTGTAATGGGCACGGATTATGAGTAAACACATATTGGAATGAACAGCCTCATGTTATCTGCAGGAACTGCAGGGTTACGGCTGAATTAAACCCGCATCAGCGAATTTCATCAGAACAGTTACTGTCCGAGCCCTGGGCCAAGAATTATATTTCCGCTATGGGGTAACTGCCATATTGAAAAATGAAGGTGGAAATGTTTGTTTCGGGTATTGTTCTTCCCCTCTTAAAGACACAAATCCACGTTTAATCAAATTATTCGGAGCAACAACGAAACCGATTGGCTTCTGCTGACTCATTAGTGGGGTCGTATTAATTAGGAATAGTTCTACTGGCTCGTTTTTGAATTTGAATGTTTGATACCCTCGGCTCTACTCTGGCGGGAGGAGGGTAGACTTGGGGAGAAGAGACACATGGAACTTCATCTGGGCTGCCGGGGGGCTCCTGGAGCCCAGGCGGCGCTTCCCGAGGCCTCCTCGGGCACTTGGTGCAAACCAAAAATCCCACTCCCCAGAAGGCCACCGTCCCAACCTCCTAATTATGGGGGATGTTCATTAAGATACGAGACCTCTTCCACTGCAGGACGCGTTAGCCTCTCTCACAAAAGCTGGATTCGGCGCTGGGGCGGGCTCCCTGAGCTCCGAAGGGAAGCCTTAGTGGAGGGGCAATTTTCGACTGAATGGATAAATAAATACGTTTTAGAATAGCTTTTAAAAATTCTTGGATGCAGTTGTGGCATCGCGTCGGCAAAATAGAGAGGGGCCGGGCGCTCCCCTCGCCCCCCGCGCTGCGCGGCGCTCCGCTCCCCCTTTCACGTGCTCCCTCGGCTCCAAAGTTTCCCTTCGCAGCATCCTCCGCCGCCGTCTCCTTCCCTCCCTCCCTCCCTCCTCCTTCCCTCCGCCGGGGAGCCGGGGGCGGTTC